ATCTCAAATCACGTCCACAAAACATTATCTTTTTTTAATTAGGCACAACTTTTGAGTTTTATGGGATCCAAAAAGACCATCAATTGTTAATTGAGTCTTTTTACTCTCTATTGTAAATACGCATTTATGCATTTTTAGTTGATTTATGCCTAAAATAATTTTATAATCATATAATTTATGTATGTTGTTATAGAATTAATAATTAATTTTTTCTTTGTTTTCATCATAGATAAATGAAACCGTTTTCCAGACCGTAGATTTTCCATTAGCATTTTCACCTACTTCATATTCATTGCTTTTAATCTTTTTATCAATTTTTTTAATTTGGCATCCATTGAAATAATTTTTTTAATATGAAATTACGAGGCTATTTAATTAAATAGATATATTTAACTTAATAGAATATGATGAAAGTAAAGTATATAATAATATCGCTAACTATCCAATGCAATGTACTAATCACATAAAATAGTTGATATGGTTGTTATGTTAATTATAAAATAATAATTGAAAATGATATGTTATTCTGATTGATATTTTAAGAATAAAATATACTAAATAAAATATGATATGGTTTTATAATTGTCATTATGAATTATAATGATAATTTAGGAAATTAATATAAATATTTTTTCGGGTCGGGTCGGGTTGGGTTTCGGGCCGGACAGCTCTTACAACCCGATCCGAGCCCGAACCCGAAAAATATTTTTTAATGACCCGACCCGAGGGGTCGGGCTACGGACAGCCTGTGCAGTTTTCTAAGCTACACCAGCTATTCCTCTGTATTTTGTATTTGGGTAAATCCTTTAAGGACTTCATATGTGTCTCTTCATTTTTAAAAAATATAAAATCTGATTGCTTGATATAGCCGAGAAAAAATTAAAATAAACTAAATTAACAAATTACTTTATATTCGTGATTTCTTCCCTTGAAGATATGTCAAGCGGAACTTTAATATTTTTTAAAATATAGGTTTCAATATAAAGACCCATACATCAGAACACAAAGAATTTAATTTTTGAAACAAAAATTTTAATTATGGGAACTTATAGTCTCATTTCCATTTTTTTTTAGAATGAGGGTTTTATTTTTAATGTAATAGTTTATGATTGGAATATATTTAAATAAATCAATATATTTTGGAAAAAATTAATAAAAATAATCTTAACGCTAATTCGGGTCACAAATTTAATGTTTAAAACTAAAATATGGGTAAGCATTTAAAATTCAATTTATGTGTAAAAAATAAAGAAAAGTACTTGTATTCGTCTGAAAAACTAATAACTACAATTACTTTTTATTTTTTATTATTTAAAATGCAAATTTAAAATTCTTTTTAAAATATTCAAATAGATACTAAATATAAATAAGCTAATTTTATTTAGTATTTTAAATACAATTATTTACGTCTTTGCCCAACGTGTGAGCATCTGCTAGGGTCAATGGTGCGCATCATAGGCGTAGCCAAGATTTTCCTAAAGGGGTGGTGGGGGGGAATAAAAAATTTATGAATGATTCGCCACCAGACGCTATTTGGGCGGTACTTCGGCCCGCTTTTGCCAGGTTCGGCCAGGTTTTTTTAGTTTATATACACTTAGTAAGTATTTTTGCAAGATAGAATATAATAAAAATAATATTATCTTTATTTAAAATATAAGAAATTGGTTAATAGATTATATCAAAATATAAGCCTAGAACATATAAGAAATATATTTTTATTAGTTTATATTAGAGACCTGCAGGCCCGGCCCAGGCCGGGCCGTATTTTAAATTTTTTAAATATACCCGGGCCGGGCCTAAAAAATTTTTTTTTAAACATATCCGGGCCGGGCCTAAAAAGTTTTTTTTAAATATATCCGGGCCGGGCCGGGCCGGGTCTAAGATTGTTAAACCCGGGCCGGGCCTTAATATTTTTTATAAAAATTTTTACATTATGAGTTAATGGTTATAACATTATATTATATATTATAGTTATGATTAATATAATATTGGGTGATGGTTAACACTACCTAACACCCACAGATCGATCTAATTATTAGTTTCCTGCAAATTTATTCAAAGTATTAATATTTTTTTTTATAATTCATATCTAAATTTTTACAACATATTTTACCAAAACAATCAAATAAAGGAATATCTTAAATAAGCCCCAATATTCAAGTATTATTAATATATTTTTTTATAAATCATATCTAAATTAATAGAATATATTTTACCAAAACAATCAAACAAAGGAATATCACTTCTTGAAGTTTGTAATACCTTACAAAGCGAAAAAAAGAAATAAAATTGATTTTACTTAATATAAAGCATTTTTTAATTGAAAAATTTGTTTTACACAAGCATCATTTTATTTCTCTTTTTCTCTGTCCCAAATTCAAGCAATTACGTATGTTGTCAGGGACAGATCGCAAGATGACAGAAAACTATATAAAAGATTATATTAAATTACAAGAGGCTCAGGAAGTAAATGAAATACCATCGACCAGTCAAATTACGACTGTTGTTAAACAAACTGAATTGTTTTATAACAAATGGGGCGATGGTAATTCTGGTAATATGTCAATACTCGATGATGAATATTATAATTATATAAATAAAAAAATAAATGAAACATTTAAGGTGGATAATTTGTTAGAGTGGTGGGCGGCTCATCAAAGCGAATTTCCAATTTAAACAAAATTGGCAATTTCTGCTTCAAGTGCAAGCTGTGAGCCGAATTTTTCTACTACTGGGAGAATTCTTGAAGAAAGAAGAAGTAATCTTCAACCTGAAAAGATAGATATGCTTCTCTTTCTTCATGATAATTTGTGAATTTTTAATATCTTTCTTGAGTATAGGGTTTCGTCAATCATGCTGGTTTTTTACTTTGCAAACTGTCAAATATTTATTGCATTTATTATATTTACCTTGAGTCATGAAAGTTTTTAATCCAACATTTTTCATTATTTTTTTTTACAATATTATATAATACAATTATCTTCTTTTGTTAAAAATTTATATTATAAAATAAATTATATTAATATTGTGCAATTATATTATATTTTCAAAATACTATTTATTATACATGCATTTTTTTAAATAGCGATTTATTTTTATTTTATAAATTAAATACAATATATTATATTCTCAATCCATTTTTATAAATTAAATATTAGTTTTATTTTTTTTAAATGCAATATAAAATACAGTATATGCTCAAAATATTATTACCATTTTTATGAATATTAGTTTTATTTTTATAAATGCAATATAAAATATAGTATATGCTCAAAATATCTATTTTTATAATGAACAGTTTTATAATTTTTATAAATTCAATATAATATTCTTAAAATATTAGCTTTTTACATGTATTTTTTAAATAATAAGCGATAATACTCGCTGAAAAATATGGTAAAATACCTCATAGGTGAATTTTTGTATATACCAGGTCGAATATAATTTTAAAAAAATCCAAGCCGGGCCTGAAATTTTTATATCCGGGCCGGGCCGTAAAAATTTTTTTTAAAAATATCCGGGCCGGGCTTTAAATTTTTAAATCCGATCAGGGCCGTAAAAAATTTTTTTAAAAAATATACGGGCCGGGCCGGGCCTAAAAAATTTGAAACCGGGCCGGGCCGTGCAAATGGTGCCTCTGCAGATCTCTGGTTTATATAAAATATAATAAATTACATATATATACATTAATACAAAAACATGGTAAAATTTTATTCCAAACAAGTATATGAAATTTCTTTATAAAAAGTAAGTAGACATATAGTTGATATTTCTTTATTATATAGAATTTACAAATTATTAGGTAAAATGCCACTTTTATAGACATATTTTACAGTTATAGAATATATTACATTTAATATTCTAATAAATATTACTAATAAATGCTTTTGATAATAAATATAGGTCACAATTTGCATTCAATTATTTAACGCCATCCATCTTTAAAGATATTATTAAAAATAAAATATTTTATTATTCATCCCACAATGGATGTACCTTATTAGATATTAACGCTACTGAAATATAGAATTTTTTTTTCATTTACATTCTTTAAAAGATATTTTCTGCTGTCCTAATCAATATTCTATAGTCTTCTGTATAATATATATTTCCCTATTGGTAAAGATTCTTTGATTGTCATACGATATTAGATAAAATTAGATATACTGTAAATCGAAGACACATAATATTCCACTGTTTGTTTTGTTGGTTAATTTTTACTTAATTTATCATTTATTTTTATCAATAATTTTATTATTATATTTTATTTTATTAATAAAATTAAGTTAAAGTTATGCACTTTATAAAAAATTATATTTGAGATATTATATTATTTAGTAATTTTATGGATCTATTATTAATAGTAATTATAATACATTTAACTTTTGTCTAAGACTTATCTTTGGCTTATATTTCATTTCCTAAAAAACATTTTTGGTTTCACTTTTTTATATAATTTACTTGTTTCCAAAAAGTAAGAATTATAATCAATAGTTTAAGGTATATGCATAAATTTGTGAGGGACATTGGGTGTTGAGAAGATTAAGGAGGATATTTTATTAGCTTAAAATGATATTCACAAAAAGTTATAAATTTCTGAAGGGGGGAGGAATTTCCACCCCCCCCCCCCTTGGTTACGTCTATGGTTACGTATACTATAGATTAGAGATTTAATAAAAATTGTATATAAGCGCCATTTTATGGGAACATGTTGACTAATTTTATTTTTGATCATTATATTAGAGTACATTAATTATTGACTTGAAGCTAATATTCATATTGATGGACGTATCCTTTTAAATACATTTTTTGTATCAATGGCTAATCTAGTTGTATATAAAAGCCATTGGCTAGGGTATATGATATAATGGCTCGGAAACGACCAAATTCTATCCATTAATACATAATAAAAAAGGTCAATTTGCATTTTAAAAAATTTGGTTATTATTTAGCAATTACAATCAATGACAATTCTTTTTACTTTCCTTGTTATTTCATATATTAAAATAAACACGTGATTAGAATCACGTTATAATTTAAAAATTTTATTATAATTAAATATTATATACTATAAATTCTCTCAATGAATAAATTAAACGATATTGATTCTGGGGAAAAAGGGGAGAAAGATATATGTGCTTTTGATGAAACCTATGTTGATTCCTATTTTGGGAAAAAATGCAACTTACAAATCGTATGGTTCAACGTTTATTGGTATATTGTGCTTCATTGTTTAGCCCTTTATGGCCTCTATTTGACGTTCTCTACAGGATTATCTACACTAATATTTAGTATAAATTTTTAACAAAATATGGTTAATAAAGCAAATTTACAGCCTTATTTATGTATGCCATATCTGGTTTGGGAATTACAGCTGGTGCTCATCGTCTTTGGAGCCATAGATCATATCAGGCTAAAACACCCCTTCAAATTTTATTAGCTATATTTAATACAGCTGCTGCTCAAGTTTCTATAATTTTAAATATTTAATATTTATTTACATATAATTTGCATTATTAGAATAGTGCTATAGAATGGTGTAGAGATCATAGAGTTCATCACAAGTATTCTGAAACAAATGCAGATCCCCATAATGCTTTACGAGGCTTTTTCTTTGCACACATGGGTTGGTTAATGGTAAGGAAACACCCAGAAGTTAAATCGAAAGGGAAAAATATATCTATTAAAGATTTGGAAAACAATCCAATATTGAAATTTCAAAAAAAGTTTTAATTTATAACTGATATATTTATCTATATATTTAAATTCTAAAATAATATAATGTCAATAATTTAGTAAAAATATATTCTTGCTACATTATATATATATATTATTAGATATTATCTACCATTGGTTATATTAATTGGAGTAATATTTCCTACATTTCTTCCAACATTATGGGGTGAAAGTGCTTGGAGGGCCTTTTTTGTATCTGGTATAAGCAGGTATGTAATGGTTCTACATGCTACTTGGTTAGTAAATTCTTTAGCCCATCTTTTTGGCAACAAGCCATATGACCAACAGATAAATCCAGCTGGTATTTTATTTTTATTAAAATAAATAATTTGAATAATATTTGATCTCAACAAGTTTTATGCATTTTAAAAAAATCCATTTATTTATTAAATCCTTTTTTCTAATATAATTTTTAAATTTAATACACAGTAAAACCTGTCTAATTTGTTTTATAATTTGGAAAACACCTAATATGACCAAAATTTTAAGTCCCAATCATTACTATTAGTCTTGATAAATTGGTCAAAAATCTTGATCCCAGTGGTGCCAAAATTAGATGGCTTTAATGTAGAAGGAACTATTATTAAACCAATAATTTTTAAAAATCTGGCAATTTTGTATCTTTGAAGTTAATAATACCATTTTTCAGTATATGAATTCATTAAAAACTTGTTTTCTTCTATTTCTTCCATTTTACAATTTTGGCTTTAATGCATGCATATTAAATAATTAAATATAAGCCATTTTACTTGGCAATTGGTAAGTTCATATTAAATAGTTAAATATAAGCCATTTTACTTGGCAATTGGTAAGTTTTTACCTGTCCACTCGAGCTACCCATAGGTTGATGCATTAGTAAGCATATGGTGAGCAGGGGGTTTAAAAATAAGGAGAGTATGGAATATTTATTATATAAGTAAAAATATATAAAAATAATATTTATATATAAACCAACCAATCAAATAATTTTTAAACATTAGGAAGGTTAAACAAATTTTAAAAATAATGGATAGACAGGAAAACTTTAAAAAAAATGGGTGGGCAAGTTAAAAATCGACTTATTGCAGACCTCTAATTTGAACATGCATTGAACATAAAATTATTCCACATTATAAAAGTAGCCCTATAAATTATATTTTTGTAACCAAGTTTGGCCCAATTTTAATTCATTTTTAGACTCATAAGGGTCACAATTTTGGTTAATGATGCTTACTACCAAGTGAATGTATGGAAATATTCTAAATACCAACCTAATTTTCTAAATACTGACAAAAATTTATTAAAATGTAATGAGACTTATTATTTAATATATTATAATGGAATCACGTGGTTGAGTCCGGCCCCCTATATATCACACCCCCCCCTCAAGGATGGAACCAAGTTAGAATAAGAAAAAAAACATATTCATTACCGGGATTCGAACCCGTGACCATGGGATCAGTAAGCGAAGTTCTTGCCGACTAGGCCATAGAGGCTTTCCAAAAATCACGATTTTTCAAATATATTTGGTAGTGCCTATCCAAATGAAAAATTTAAATTTGATAGGTAGTACCTTAAGGTATTAAGCATCATTAATCCACAATTTAGTCATTTTTAGGACCTTTTTAAAAAAGTTTTAACTCTTACTATTTAACCTTTATGTAACAGCCCTAAGATAAATTACTTTTTAGCCTTAGGACTGCTTAAAGATAAAAAAGTTTTTTTTATTCTTTCTCCTGATAGAAAATATAATCTATCAATATTTTATTACAAATTTTTCAAAATCACTTTCTTAATTATAATCAATTACTAGTATTTTATTGGAAATTCCTTTTTACAATCATTTTATAACTCTCATTTTGTTAAATTGAGTTTATTAAGTGTGTTCAAAACGATTTAAAAAAAAAATCAAAAAATTTCAAAACTTTTGCATATTTTAATGAAATCCCTTAGAATTCTCTTTTAGATCTGTTTTTATTTTTATATTTAAAATAGTTTATTTATTTTCATATAAGTTTGAAATAATTTTTTGATGTTTTTGGATACAGCCTAAAAAAAATTAATTATCCAGATAGAATTAATTTCTATAAAATTGTATCTAATCTAGATACATAGATACAGATATAACATTTTTAATTCTAGTTGCTTGGTGATTCTAAATATATTAAATTTTGTCATTTATGATAAAATAAAAATAAGCTCAAAATGTGCCTTAATTATGTTTTTTAACATATTTAAGAACTGGGAGTTGAACCAAAGTGTGAAACTGAAATTTCCAAACGTTATAAGGAAATTTCATACACCAAACTGTAAAGTCGAACCTGTTCATAATGGTTTATGAAATTATATTAATTTATTTTAAAAAATTGGCTTAATTTAAAATATTTTTATAAAAAAGATTAGTTTATGTTACCAAATTTAATAAATAAATTTAACTTATTTTCTTTAATTTTTGTTTGGTTTTTGTTTTAAAAGTAATCATCAATATTTTTTTTATATTATTAGGTATCAGCAAATTAATATATATGATGATTAATTTAAAAAATCGAAAAGAACCGATGTGGATTTATCAGAGACCTGCAGACTGCACGACGGCTAATTTTAATTTTCAGCATGGCCTGGCCCCTTTTTTTAAAATTTAGTCCCGGCCAGAGTTTTATATTTTTAGGCCTAGCCCAGATTTTTTAAAATTTTTATAGGCAATAATGGCGATTTAAAATATAAGGCCCAACCCGGGTATTTAAAAAAAAATTCTTAGGCCCGGCCCAGGTATTTAAAATTTTTTTAAGCCCGGCCCTTGTATATTTATAAAATTAAAATCTGGACCGTGTACCCGGGCCGCGCTTGCAGGTCTCTTTGATTTAGAAACCAGAACGGACTGATATAAATTTGTTTAAAAATAACTGGAATGGAGCTGAGCCATTATATTTAACCGGTTTGACACTCTGCTTAGAACTGTTACATAAAAGAGAGCTAACGAAAAGGAAAAGTTGAACATTTTTATGAAACTTATTTTAGGCAATTTTATGACAAAATAGCGTCATCTTTACCTTTTAGCCATATTGTGTGTTAATTTTTGTAAATATTCGTTTGCAGCATAAATTGTTAAGTTAGATAATTGAACAGTAAAAAAAGGTAAAATTACCAAAGTTCGAAGTCCTAGTCATTATAAGAAAAAATTTTGAACTTGAAATAAGATGACCATGTACAAAAAATTTATTTTTATTTTTCCCCTAATTATCTATTTGTCATTTAGTTCTATTTACCAAATTTAGTATTTAAATTGATTTAGTGATATAACAAATTATTTTAAATCTAAAATGGTGTTTTTTATACTTATTAACCCTAAATATCTCGGTATGAAAGTTAGAAAGTTCTAATCGTTTCTGTATCATCTTCATAAAAATTTAACGAAATTGGCAAGATCTGCATAATATGTCTTTTTTTTATCGATTTGACATAAAAATTTTCTCTTCCTCAATTATCATTTTAATTTATTAAATTGAGAGTTAAATTTATTTTTGCGCCCTGAATTTTTAAATTTATATTTGGGCCTAAGCCTGACTTTGGGCCGACTTGCAGGGTTCATGCTAAAATTAAATAATTTATATTTTTAAACTAAGGAATTGAAAATAAAAATGGTTTGCAATGATTAATATAAAATACAATCTCTTTTTAGAGTCGTTACCTGTGTGCATATTGGCGATAGGGGAAGGCTTCCACAACTATCACCACACTTTTCCTCACGATTATTCCACTTCCGAATTTGGAGTAACCCTCAATGTCACAACCTTTTTCATTAACTGTATGGCCAAAATAGGATGGGCTTATGATCTCAAAAAGGTTAGCCACAAAGCTGTGACCAGCAGGAAGTTGAGAACTGGGGATGGCACCAAAAATATTTTTCTGCCCATTAAAACATCAAAGTCTAATGCACGTTTAGGGGAAATTTTAGAGGAAGAGAAGGAGGAAAAGCCTGTTGAAGAAGTCACCAGAGGAGCCGAAGAAAATGATTCCTCCACCACTCTAAGGAAAAGGAATATAAATGTTGGCACAATAATCGTTGACAACAGTCAAAGTAACAAGGAAGATCAACCAGAGGAAATGAGTAACAATATCGAAAAATTTAAAAGTGTAACCGATACACCAAATCTCATCGAGACCCCAAATTGCTTATTTGCTCCTGGTTCTATGCAGAAGATGACAAGTGCGCTTGATTTCGATATCTCAAATATGGCCAATGTTATGAAACCCCTTTCCCCCTGCGTCGACTTGGGACAAAATTTACTAGAGAAATTTTTCTCTTTCAACTGTAACACATCTGTTAACTTCAATAATCATATCGGAATCCAGCACAGGAGGTCCCATTCGGAGACTGGTCTCTCCAGCTTTAACCATTCTATAGCTAATAAGGGTGACGACTGCAGATCATCCTTATTTCTGTCTCGTCAGAGAAGTATCAACGGCTTTGATATGGAGTGCATGAAAGGAGGTACAAACAATTGCTTCAATTTTTTGAAAGTTGGTAATGGCTAATTGTCAATTAATCAAATTTTATTGTAAAACTTTATATTATTAATAAAATATTATTTTATTGATCCATTTATATTTCCTTCTTTAAGAATTTTTTTTTTAATTATTATTTTTTTTTATAAATTATATATTCGTTTGGTTTTATGTATAAACCTCAACGCTCAATAACCTTTTCCAAATAACATTTATATGATTAAATTTTATGTATCGATATTATAGGCAAAAAAATTGATATTAATAATAAATATAATATAACAATAGTAAACCATTATCTTTATTATATAAAGGCATAATCTTGTTTTTATCTGTAATTATATATTATAAATTTTTTTTATCAAATATTATGTGTACCATTTCAACTATTACTATATTTATATTAAATTAGTTTTGTTAATATACGTCATTTCACCAGCCCGTTGATTTTAATTTCAAAATGTTTTTCCTGTAATTTTTTTTTTTAAAAGCTCAAAATTTATCCTGGATATTTCTAAATTAAAATTTTTTTTTAGCTTCTAATGTTTTTATTTATTTGATAGACTATCCAATTTTATATATCATTATTATATATGGCAATAAAAGTCCAACTTAGTTATGATTATAATCCTTGCGTAAATTAAATACCCCTTTTAGACTATGTAGATACATAATTATTATATTTATAAATAATATAGTTAAATTGTTTAACTAGTCAAATATATCCTTTTTATATTAAATTTCGTAGCGCGCTTTAACATTGTTCAGACATATTTTTTTGCTAAACTTGTAATGCTCGATTGTGTCTAATTCGTAGAATAACTTTACCAACCTCTATGCTTTTTATATGTTTAGTTTGATAATCTCCAATAAAAAAATCTATCATAATTGTAAAATGTTTTTTTACAATCATATATCCGTTATTTATGGTATGGCAAGAAGCTAATTGAATCTTTATCATTTTTGCCATTGCTTAAAACAACAAAAGTAATGTGCTGCACGTTACTCTTTAATTAAGATTCCCTTTCCCCAAAATAAATGTACGTTACTTTCTTCAGCACTAGTAATTTTACCTTTATTTCCTTATTTTTTAAATTATTAGCTAAAAGAATTTGTTATTATAGGAATTTAATCAGTTCATAAATTTTTTTTATCATACATAACTTTTAGTATACGTAAATGGTGATTATAAGTTTGGTTTTTAAAATGAATTGAATTAATATATTGGTTGGCTTTAAATTACTAAAAAAATACTTACAAAATGATCTCCTTAATATTATTATTAAGAATGCCCTAGTGTATTTTTATTTATATCTTCGGTCTGATCCATCTTTGTTTCAAAAATTTTGAATATTTAAGATCATTGCCTATATTCGATTTATATAAATATATTTAAATTTTAAAATAAATATAAAATTCTGTTCAAGGTGACACACTATCATTATTTTTCATAAAAAGTATTCTACTACTAACTATTGCTGCAAAATAAGTTGCAAGCTACCCTTAGCATCTTCGCTTCCCATTAGCCCTACGTTTTCGTTTATGCGGACTCCTATTTTTTTTTAACCGAGTTCAAAAATTTTTCCATTTTATCTTCAATACAAAAGTAAAAAAATATATATTGGCTATACATTCAAACTTAATTTTAATTTTTACTCTTAATGCATTAAGAATAAAATACTGCTCTCCTAGCTTGATTATCATTTTTCAAATTTTTTACTGGTAAAATTTTAGGTGTAAATAGTTATAGATATACTTGAATACCTTATTTTATTTGATCAATAATTTGTGTAATTTCTATTTATACCGATCCTTGACTTGGTTGGGTTCAGTCTTGGATCATAGACCCTTATTGGCCGGGTATAAGCCTAGTATCCTATTTTCAAATAGGCCTAGGCCGAGCTTGTGTTTTTGAATTTTATTTTATTGGGCTGGGCTTGGGCCTAAAATTATTAAATTTAAATTTAGCAATTTATAGTAACTATTAGTAACTAACTTAAAGAAATATTGCCATTTTTCTTTCTTCTAATAATAAATTTCAGTATTATAAACAAAATTAGTGCCTAAATACCAGAGTTGTTAAAAGATACTTTTTAAATGGATCTAGATACAGATACATAGTTTAAAAATTTATCTAGATACAGATACAGCTTCTAAAAAGTTATCTAGACTTAGGTACAGATACAATTTAAAATGTATCTAGGTACAGATACATTTTTTATTATACTCTTAGATAAGGTTTGAATAAACCTAAATTAGGATTCTATTGTGAAAATTCATAAAATGATAAAAATTTATTGACTCGATATCACATTTATCAGAATATAACTAAAATAATGATTTTTATATATTAATATAATATATGATTAATATAAATAAGTATTATATATCATTAATAAAATAATATAATATATGATTAAATGATTATAAATAATTATTAGATTTCAGTAATAAAATATATTCAAAATTTTGATTTAAGGCATCCTCGTTTATCTGTAAAGACATTTTTAGCTATACTACTTTCAACAGGAGCGCTGGAAGGGATTGTGGTGTTATATTTAATGAATAACATTTTTATAACAGGATATTGTTTAAAAATACTAAAATCTCGGCATTCATTTTTGAAAAAACTATTTAAAATTTGTTGATTATCAGAATTTAAATCATTAACAAGCATATCTCCTGCTGTGGCATACTGAAAAAAATCGGATATTAAATTATTGGGTTTTTTTTTCACAGGTTAATTTGCACTCATTTGAAGACTTTGATAATTCTCAACTAATCTTTGTATTAATTGTTTTTTTTTATTAAAATTTTCATCCATTTGCAACCATGTCCAATCTAGTTTAAAAAAAGGATGAAGCATAGTTGCCAGAATATTTTCATCTTCAAAAATTGTCCCAATAAACCTAGAATTATTAAATACTGATTAATTTACCTGTCTTCAATTCCTTTAAGTAAGGCATTTAAGAGTGGTAAACAAAATTTCAGGTTCATTTGTTTAAAATTTTTCAATTTAATAATGAGCTGGGAAATATGTTTACCGGCGATAGGCACTCCAACAATCTGCTGTTGTGCATATTAACGATGGTTCTATTAGACTTTTAATGATTTCTTTCTTTTCATTCTCCCATCTTTGGGAAAGCAACCACTGTCTGTCTGCAAATTATATTTTTTTGTGGAGCTAATGTTTTGATCATTTTTAAATGATGGATTTGCAACAATTGAAAATGGCTGAATGCTATCTATAATAAAATCAGATATTAAATCATCTAATTCGGTTTGGGTTAAAGTCTGAGGTCTCTTGAACAAAAAATCAATGGACGATGAGCTTAGTGCAATATTTTCTTTAATAAATTTTTTCTCCTTCCCCTTTTTTATTTGGATTAAGAGTGTTTGATGTTTTCTCTTAAAATTTAAAATTAAAATTGTAAACATTTATTTAGTTTTGAGATATTATTTTAAAATATGGTCTATAAATTGGCCATGGAATGTCGTCATTTTTGTCATCAATATTAATCTTAAAAATTAATATAATAGAATAAAATAAAATACCAATTCCATTGCAATTAAAAATAGCAAATTCCTTGAGATGCATTGTAATATCAGAATTTGCTTGTTATTGATAACTCGGACATAATATTTAATTAATATTTATATATTCTTTTTTAAATATAAGTTTTAATATTTTACATATATATATAATTTTTTAATATATGAAATAAAATAGATTTTACACTCAAGTATTTTTATTTATAATATAAAAAAGCGTTAAATAAAAGTATCTAAAAACAGATACCTCTAAAATAATATCTAGATACAGATACTTTAATCAAAAATTTATCTAGATATAGATACCACATTTCTATATCGAGATACTTTAACAACTCTGCTAAATACACTTAAAAATTGTTTATTTTTATTAAATACAATAAAATTAAAATTTTGAATAAGGGCTTGAGCTGTTGGAATTTTTTTTTAAATATTAGATATAGGCCGGCCTGGGCCTAAGAATTTTTTACTGCGGGCCTGGACCGGTCTTGGTCAAAAATTAAGGCTTATGAAGGTATTTGGTCTCGATACCCCAGGACCGAACCTTATTTTAGAAATTTCTAGACATGGACCCGGATCTAACCCGGCGAAATTTGTTAATTTCAAAACCCTGGTCTCTTCCGGTTCTAAATATTTTTCTTTAAAAAGTTGTTCCGGTTTCTAAATATTTTTGAAAGGATTTGATTATGACGTGTTTCTAGCTGAGGTTAAAAAATTTTTGCTAGGCAATAAAAAAAAATTAAAATGAATAAAACTTTTAATAGCTGTATTAGATTTTCTTTAAATCTTAAGAGCGGACCAGGTTCCGAGGGTTCCATTTCCAAACTCTGCTTATATTTGTTTAATATTTTTTATAATATAGATTTATAGAAGATTACTACTTTTAGAAAAAGACTCTTATTATGGTAATTAATAATGTTGGTTGATTATATTTGTCTGGTGTATTACGTCTTAAATTTATATAAATCGCAAGTAAATTATTATTTTTTAAAACAATAGGTACGGTTTTATATTTTATTTACTCTATATTATATATATAAATTTTTATGAACAGAACATACTATGTAAGGCTATTATTACGCGAATGTCATTGGCCTATATCTTAATCTATCGAATTTGTTTATTAATAAATAAAAGATTGATTCGTGACAAATTACAATAAAGTCGGTAAAAAAATGTGTAGATTTTGAATTCAGTTATGAATTATAAACATGTATGAGTCATCGCAATTTACTTATTGGGTCAACTTTTACAATGCAAAAAAAAATATAAATTAAATGAGATTATTCAAAAACAAGAAATATTAAAAATTTTTTTTTTTATTAAATGCTAATATTTTGCGTCTTTTTAATAATATATTTTAAATGGTACTTGGAAATTGGTGAACCTTTTTTATTATTTGCGTTTAAACAACGAAGCGTGTTATAAATATAAAAACAACACTAAACGCTAGTGGTCAATTTTTATAAGCACGATTTTTTTTATATAAATGCTAGCTTTCGAATATATGAAAAAGGGAAAAATATAATTAGGAATTAAATTTATATTTAAAAAAATATACGAATATAAAAAAATACATTTTAATATTAAATATTAATGAGTTTTTAAAATAGCTTTACACCATTTTATTTATTTTATGATTTTTAAAATCATTTGCGAGGCAATCAATAATTTTTTTAAAAATGTATATAACCTTATAAGGAAAGCCATTAAATTAATTAATATATATTATTTATTTCTCTTATTTTAGAGAAAAATCTATTGTGGTAAGGCCTTTAATATTTTGTGAAGTTGTTGCATCCTTAGATTAGCCATTATTCTTTAATTATATTTTATCTTGCATTTTATACATTGGCAGCACAGGAATTATTAAATTGGTAAAATATGATTTTTTTAAAAAAAATTTGAACAACAGCGACATAACTAAATAATGGAATTAAGACACCAAAGTATAAACATGAAAAAAAATTAGTTTGAAAAAATTCTAATATTGTTATCTTGAAATTTTAAAATTATAATCAGGAAATATGGGTGGTTTAATATATTACAAAATTGTCTGACTAGTTTTTCTTTTGGCACGTAGCTATTTTTTGTTTATTTTTGATTTCTTCGCAAATAACTTGATTATTAATTTCGGCAAAATAAAAATGACCTAAAATTTATCGTTCAGTCAACTTGAGTTTCTGTATTATTCA